AACTGTTTACATTGAAAAAAAAAGAGAACACTCAAAATTCACAAAGATTATAGCTAAGACATGTGTCTATATATATAACAGCTAGAATTTATAGAAATGTAACTCAAATTGTTCGCGCCATATTCATACCATAGTATAGTTAGAACAGACCATGCTTGCTTACCATATATGATATAGACTAGTTATGATACTAACTATACTATGGTATGAATATGGCGCGAACGATTTGAGTTACATTTCTATAAATTCTAGCTGTTATATATATATAGACACATGTCTTAGCTATAATCTTTGTGAATTTTGAGCCTATTGCTCGTAGGCTAATAGTAATACACGGCTATAATAGTACGTAGGCTAATAGTAAGGCCACGGCGGATCAAGGATAGTTTGGGACCCCCGAAATATGTTTTCGCATATGTGCTACACTAATCTGGGGTGTTGAACTAGGCTTGTACATTATCCATTGTATAAAGACACTATAATTAAGAAGACATGTACTATAAGGACTTATTTTTATTTCACTCTGGGGATTTTGTTACTGCATGACCTATGATTGCATAGCCAATATATGAGCGATACCTCAATATATTTGAGATACCCTGTGTGAATGTTAGTTGTATAAGATGAATATATATACATATATATATATATATATATATATATATATTATAATTATTATTATTATTATTATTATTTATTATTATTATTATTATTATTATAATTATATATATATATATATATATGCCCTACCATAGGAGAGATGGAAATGGAAATTACTTTATACAATGTTCTATGGGTGCCTTCGATGACAACACTGTGCAACAGATGCTAAAACTTACACCGTGCTCGACCAATAAGCAAGCTGTGAGCAAGAGGTTTAAACTGGTTTCAGAAGACCATTTCACCACCACCAACTGTTCTTGAGTATCCTCCAGTTGATAGTCTAAAGCAGTTCCAGGAGCTGCTATACTCAGAGAGATACGATGCTATTCTCGAGAACTTCAACATGACAGCAGGAGAACTTTCAAAGGTTTGTGGTAATCGTTGGCTCTCTGATGACCATATGACATGGTTAGTCAACAAGTTAAACAATGAACAGGAACAAGTATTTTGCGCATACATAAACAACATTACTAACATTGAAAGAATGGTACATAGGAGAATCCTCTCAAGAGGTAAAATGCCCAAATCCCTGGCGTTTCTTGTAAACGTAGGACATGAGAACGGCCAGGTTTACCTTGGGAGAGACGCACAACCAGGATTTCACTGGACGATGTGCCATGTCAACATGCAAAATAAATGCATCTTCTATGGTGACTCACTGGTTGGGACATTTCCACATGCCTGGTCGACAGGATAAAGCGCTTCATCAAGGCCATCTATGGTGACTCAGCTTTCAATCAGTACAGGCTGCATGCGTGTCATGATCCTTCTACCCACTCACCAGGATCTGCTCACAAGTGTTCTGAGACTTGCTCTACATATTTTCCACTACAGACCTGTGGCAGCATATGTGGACAGTTGCTATGGCCATGGCTGCTGTGTCTTGCCACAATCCTGAATTCTTTGATATCTGGTAGCAAGGTAAATATTCAACAATACTTATTACTAGTTTTAAACACTAACTTACTGTATATAAGATTGAATTGACAATACTGTAGTTCTTAAAACTGAAAGAATACCAAGTTTTCACAAAATTACTGAATATGTGTACAATATATAAAATTTCATATATATATATTGTTGCTTTATCAAAATCCAAAAATTGCCATCACTTTCAGGTCTTTCACACATGCAAGTAATTGTCTTCCCCACCAGTACAGTATAAAAGCCATGTTCCTTATTCCATTGTATTTTTGTTTCCATTAAAGGCACACTGATGCAACTAAGACTGCAAACATGTATCTCAAAACTCCTACCAATTCTCCCAATATCTGAGACGAGTAATTGCTGCCTGGATAGCAGAAGGAAAGGTAAATGTTAAGTACATTGTGCCAGCTACAAACCTACCTGTCACAGACCTCGACCAACCTGATGATGTTCCTACAAACCTACCTGTCACAGACCTCGACCAACCTGATGATGTTCCTACAAACCTACCTGTTCACAGCACTCGACAACCTGATGATGTTCCTACAAGCCTACCTGTCACAGACCTCGACCAACCTGATGATGTTCCTACAAGCCTACCTGTCACAGACCTCGACCAACCTGATGATGTTCCTACAAACCTACCTGTCAAGACCTCGACCAACCTGATTGATGTTTCCTACAAGCCTACCTGTCACAGCCTCGACCAACCGGGTGATTATGCTTCCTACAAACATACCTGTCACAGGACCTCGACCAAACCTGATGATGTTCTACAAAACCTACCTGTCACAGACCCGACCAACCGGATATGTTCCCTACAAACCTACCTGTCACAGACCTCGACCACCTGATGATGTTCCTACAAACCTACCTGTCACAGACCTCGAATCCAACCTGCATGATGTTCCTTACAAGCCTACCTGCCTCAAGACTCGACCACCTGGTATTGATGTTCCTACAAACATCACCTGCTCAAGACTCGACCAACCTGATGATGTTCCCTACAAACCTACCTGTCACAGACCTCGACCAACCTGATGATGTTCCTACAAACCTACCTGTCACAGACCTCGACCAACCTGATGATGTTCCTACAAACCTACCTGTCACAGACCTCGACCAACCGGATGATGTTACTACAAACCTAACTGTTTACATTGAAAAAAAAAGAGAACAGTATGTTTGCAATCACTGTCAGCAGATATTTGAAAGAACATACAACCCTAAAGCGACATATTAGAGAAAACATGATAATGAACTGAGTGGCATGAATGCCATGGGTAATTGTAACTGTGAACATTGTGGACAATGCTTCAGACGGATGCTTGATCTTCGTAACCACCAGACCAAAGAGCATAGTGTCATCTTCAGGGATTGAAATCAGTTCGTTTGGTAATTGCACAGGTAAATATTATTTCTTTTACATAAATTAAACCAGTACAAATTTCCAGTAATTTAAGTTATTGATTTCTGGTACAGATTTTTAAATAACGTATTTCAATCTTTAGTTAATAATAAAAACCAAAACGTTTATCATTATTGTGTGGTTGTAGAATTTGACACATGGAAAGAGAAGTAGAGAAGAGAGAAAATTGCAGTTTTATTAAAAGACTGGCATCAAAAACTGTGAAAAGCTTGGAGAAATTGAATATTATCAGTGCAACAGGAGTGGCCAATATCAGAAAACTGGTGAAGGAAATAGATGTAACAAATCTCAAGGTATATATGTACTCCATGTTTATTAAGAGAAAAAATATCTATATTAATCTTTTTTAAATTATGTAGTCTTTAATTGCCATTTAAACCCAGTGACAACTTGTTCAGGTTACGAAACTTGACATGTGCAGATAAAATTTTCAACATCTTGATCAGGGATTTAAATAAAACTTAAATCACGGGCATTTTTATACTGTGTGTGTCAGGGAGGATTCTATTTACATTGTATAATTGACAGTTTATTATTCAATATAGATATTGATGAAATATCAGGATTTCACGTTCCTAAAATGTGCAAATATCATGAACTGTGCATGACCACCTCTGATTAAAAGTTTGGGTTATACTGTCAACATTGCATATATTTTCATCGACATCTATATATTAAATAAAACATTACATGGCTACATGGGAGCTGGAGATACAAATTTATCTTCACGACTGATGTTAAACATCTCTCACTTGTTCGCTGCGCTTAGTCGTGATATATTATTGACACGAGGTAAATTCAAATACGAATCTGTGCGCCATGTAATATAGTCAATATGGATATTTGGGATATATTTTAGGGGTGTGAAATGAACATCCCAGGTTGAGCTTCAATTAATGGTTATTAATTTTTATTTAGTTCCAGTAAAGATGCAGGAAAATTGTACCGCCACAATGAAAAACACACTTTGCCATGGGCCAAGTTCAAGTTGAGATTTGTTTGACCCATCAAGGTCACACAAGCGACATACAGCACCTTAGATTAGCAAAAAGCAAGCGTGAAGAGATAGCTGCAAAGCTAAAACAAGGCGTTCTTTTGATGCTATTTTAAATGGGGTTAGAGATGGCATTCAATGGAGGAAGATCTCAGTAGAACAGTTATTTTAGACAGGAAGGATATACATAATATACACAAGCATTTGGGCTGAAAGACATACAGAGACATTCGAATGATCAGGAAAGTGTGATGCATGGATAACAGAATGGGAAAAGTCAGAGACAAATCCTATTCTCTTCTACAAAAATGCAAGGGGGAAGAGTCAGATATGCCTCTGGACAAAGAACGACTTTTGTTATAATTGTCCAAAGCGTTCCAAAAGAATTTACTTAATAGTTTTGGTAATAAAAGGTGTTTTGTGCCGACTCCACACATGGAACCACGGCATATGATTTTTTATTAACATCGCTGCTGATAGTAGACGAGTTTGGCTCTGGTATCCCTGTGGCCTGGTGTCTCTCAAAATCACGAGGACACAAATACTATGAATATTTTTTCGAGATGATCAAAATGAATTGCGGCACCATTGTCTCGCAATGGTTCATGTCTGACACTGCCAACCAGTACTTCAATGCTTGGGGTAGGTGTCATGAAAAATCGTCAACAAAATTAATATGCACATGGCATGTGACAAAGCATGGAGGCAAAATTAAGGACTAAAATCAAGGACATGTATGAAGAAGCTGATACCTATAAATGCTTCGGGTAATTATGGAAGAGACGGACCAGGAAGTATTTGAATATCAACTTAAAGAAAATAGTAAATTTACTAGTAGGAAATCCAAAACACAAGAATTCGGCACTACTTCCAACTGAATGGGTACAAGGAAATATGAATGGGCTTTTTTTAATAGACTTGGCTAGGATCAATACCAACATGTTTCTCGAGGCATTTCACCGAGTTTTAAGCAACTTTACATGATGGAAACGTCAATAAGCGGGTGGACAATTGTTGTTTAACCTTTTAAAATATATGAGAGACAAAAAATTTGAAGAATGATTAAGCTAACAAAAGGAAGCCTACAGCCAGAATCAAGATGATCCACGAAAGGCACAGAGAAGCATGGAAATGGGACGAACAGTGTGTCAATCAGTTAGCTGTGGGAAAATGGGGTGTAGTTTCCAAAGATAAGAAGAGGGAGTACATCGTTACAAAAGTGCTGGAAACTGTAAAGACAGTAATGTTCTCTCAAGTGCTCCGACTGCCTGGAGGTATAATATGTGTCACACATTTTCTTGCAACTGTCCAGATAGCTTAATCAAATCTACAATATGCAAGCATACACACCTTGTTGGCAGAACAATGACAACAACACTCTACTGATGATGAAACCACCGAAAGGATGAACAAGACTATGGATTCTGAACAGAAACGAAATCCAAATGATTATGCTGGATGTAAAACACACAAATTCGAAACAGGTGATCTAGACTTATTAAAAGAAAATAACGTCTAGGCTACTTGGGTTAATTACCAGATAAGTAACTGCAACAACACAAGGAGCCTTACAAGAACTAAACAAAGGATTCATCGAAACAGAATCTTTTCCAGTCATGCTACAGAACCCCGGCAATCTATCGCAGATTCATCCTAAAGTTAATGTCCCAAGTAACAAGAAGCAGACAACACAAAGAAGCTTTTACTCAACCAAAAAAAAGAGGAAGAGGGCATGTAATGTGAGATTAGCAAGACCAACTAGTGAAGAGAAAGAAAATATTGGAAAATGTATGTTGAATTCTCTATTTTCTTCTATACTATAATATATATATATATATATATATATATATATATATACTATATATATATATATATATTTACATTTTTCAATTATATTATAATTTGTCACAATTATGTTACTGTAAATGCTAGAATTAGTAAATAAATATTAATCCTTCTAATTTGTTTTTCTAGTCTTGGTAGGAGATGAAGACTGGACATGCCACCAGTGTAAAAAGTGCAGAGAAATTAATATGATTGAGTGCGATGAATGCAACAACTGTTTTGATTGGTAATTAATAAATTATTATAATTCATTTGAATATCATATAGTTTAAAAAAAACCTTTCAAAGCACAGAGTGCATATATAAATAAAAATATAATAATAAATTTAAATCAATTTCAGGGAGTGTGCAATGATTGTGGAGGAGCCAGAGGATTTGTCTGTTTGGTTATGCCGGGAATGTCTTCACAGCAGTCAAAGAATGGAAAAACCATTGACTGAGCAAACTCAACTAAGAATAGAAAATTTACAAGCTACGTTATTCTGTGTGTATTAGACATCTAATTGAGACAGCTTGTTTTGTTTTATCAGCAATTAACATAATATTTTGAGACATGACTGCCAGTAAGAAAAAAAAATGATAAGAAATTGTTAACGTTATAAAGGTTAGTAACGTTTATACCCGTCACACCTACCACCTCCCTTCGATCACGCAATCACGCGGTAGGTGTGACAGTATTATAGTAATGAAAGACAAATCAGTTCGAGAGGCGATTTTATTTGTTAACAGTAGTAATGTAGCATCTGATTAGTAATTCCAACATTTTAGTTATCGTGTATGTTTTGGACTTTTGCAGAACTTTTATATCTGTTGATATTAGAAGAAATCTCAGAGTTGGTTGCAGTAAGACCATACAGTATGTGTCTAGACCACTGTGCACGTGAAATTATTATTTGTAATATACATACGATGGTACCTGTTGGGGGGCGGGTCGGGCACGGGGGTTCAGGCTCGGAGAGAACAAAGCCGTGATCGAATATTACACCGTGAGCGTGGATGAAATTGAGCCAGTGGCTCGTCAGCTTGGGTCTTGCTTCACTAAAACAACAAGTTTCCAGGAAAACCCGTTACCAAACGAGATTCTTTTTGAAGTACCTGAAACGGTCGCTGAGAAGAGGAAAACCGATGTTTCATAGAGATGTCATAAACAACTACCGACCCAAGTGAAACTAAACTGCGAATTTGTTGTTTTGGTCTCTTTTCCCTTTCTCATGGGACCATGCATTTATATCATAAAACAAATAAACAATGCCTGGCCATGTACTATATACCTCATAAAACACTTTGTCATTCGAGACACGAGAGAAAGGTTAATTAAAAGCACTCGGCCAAAGCAGCCGAGTGCATGAGACTTCACATGGCCATGTAGCATTGTCTTATTTTGTAATTATAATCTTTTGTACATAATTCTGCATACTGTGTCATACTTCTCATGCCCTGAGCCACAGGCAGTTGGAACACTTTAATAATAAATTCATAATTTGTAAAATGTATTTACTATCAAAATATTATTGATTATCTATGTTTTTGCCTATTACTGTAACAGTGATTCCTTGGCAAGATACATGACCAAGTTAACTTGCTTTGTCAATATAATATATATAAGGGAACTTTATAAGATCAATTTAGGAATAAACATTAAGGGAACAAAATTAATTAGCACCGGCCAACTCCCCAACTGGCATATGCCAGCAAATTATTTGGAGGGCCAGTAACTATTGGGCCAAAACACCGGGCCTCTCGAGCGGTGTGTTTCAGTTGTGTTAGCGAGTACTACATTTTTTTTATTGCATTATATGAGCAAATAGCTACAGTACTGTCTTTACCTGAAGGATATCATGCCATAATTTATCACATTTTACATAATTTGAAAATCGAAAATGCAAGCGTGAAACATGCAAAAACACTTGGACATCATTCACGATCTGCATTATAGTCTCAGCGGCAGATCCAGACTTCAAGTTCAAGGAAGGGGGGTCTGGAAAACTGGTGGGGGGGGGGTACTAGGGGCCTCCCCAGAATTTAAAAAATGAATACGCAGCGAGACTGGTGTTTGCAGGCACTTAGTACAGTATGCCGTCATTCTGACTACAACAATCATTTTAGTAGAAACAATTCATTCGCTTCTGAATTTATGTACGGGGGGGGGGGTGCAAACACGTTCTTCCAGTGTAGCGTGCCAGGCAAGGGGCTGACACGGCCCATGCAGCACCTGAGCACGTGACAAGGGTGAGGCCATGAAGTCGATCAGCAGCCTACGTCACCGCGGGCTCATATATAAGCAGCCTCGATCCAATGAGAAAATGCGTCAATCTTCGACCACAAGCTCGAGAGCACTTCGAGGGATCCATCAAGCGCCACCCACCGAGTCGATCTTCGGCCACGAGCTTGGTACAGGACTTCGAAGGACGGGCCGAACAGCATACACTGAGGAGCCGGAGGAGTCGTCGCAATAGCTAAAATAAACGTAGCTCTAGAACTATGGCCCTGCGGCGGAGCGCAAGGGCTATAGTTCTAGAGCTAGGATAACGTATTATAGTCGAATAAGACGTCATCAATTATATATATCATAATTAT